GAGGGAACCGACCCTCGGGGCTACATATGTATCTCGATCAATAGACCATCTTCTTGCCCTTTCGGCGAGCGGCCATGGATGGCGTAAGCGCCGCCCTAGCTACCTCTGACCAGCAGCTCTACATTGCAGCGGACCAAGCTGAAGAAGCCGAGACAAGTGGCCGAAGTAGTGCGCGGCCGTAGAGGGCGGTGGACCGCTGAGGAAGCAATATGTGCGACTGCATGGTCTCGTGAAAGATTGGACATCATTAGCCGTGCGGTGCTGGCGTGTAAGAATCGATCTCTTTCGATTAAGCGGGCCATCCCAATGCCTTGCCAAGTACATGCTATGCACATCACGGTACCGCAATCATCGATTCAACCCTATATCATGACCACGCTTCTCGCTATTGGAGCTGCGATTGCTATGGTACAGAAGCCAACTGCTGCTGCCATTAATTCTGCTCAGTGGCTTCAGGCTTCGAGGTCGAATCATCGGACGAAGCACGACTGTGAGACTTGGGGATGTCGACGCCGAGCAGCTCCGCCCGGAGATCCTCCCCGCTGACGGAAGGCCCTGCGTCTACCGAAGCACCCACGCTGCTCGTGCTGCTACTACTACCGGATCTTGATCGTCCATGTTTCGGCGGCGCAAGCAAGTCATCCTCTCGCCCCGATCGTCCAGCCCTTGCTGCCGGCGCTCCTTCTTCCTGGACCCCATGCTCTTCGACATCTTCAGTGTTATCATCGATCGAAAGAGCCTTGGCTTTGCGGAAGAGCTCTCCTTCTTCCGACAGGAATCCCTTTGCCTTCTGCTCGACAGGGGAGAGGCCATCGCCATCCGAGCGTGCTTTCGAGGCAGCGCCTGTGTTGATCTTGAGCTCAATGACTTGCTCCCTCAAGGCCCTTGGCTCGTCTGTATCCGCATGGGGAGCACCAGACTTCGTTGGGTCTGCGTCATCCTCGTCATCAGATCCGATTGAAAAGGTTGGCGAAGAGAGTGTTGCATCAATGGCTGGCGTCTTCAGCAGGTCGTTGCTCTGTGGCTCTTTGATTGAAACGGATAATGGGTCTTGTCTTCCTTGTGCAAGCGGTTGAACCAGCTTGTAAAGCTTTCCAACGTGCGTTGTTAGGGACTCAAGATCATCGTTGAGTGCGAGGACTCGCTCTATCACACATAAAATGAGGAAATTCAGCGCAAAGCAAAAGTGAGAGCAGCACGGGGCAGAATGCTCACCAAGCAGACGGCCTTCTTCCATGCCGTCGATGACACGTACAAGTCTCCCTTTGATCTTGAGGCTCTCACGCATGAGGTCCTCGACTACGTCCGGTAGATCTGACGCCGGCTCGAACCCTTCACTCGGTTGTAGTCGTGCAGTCTCCGATTCGAGCAAGGTCCGCAGCACATCTCGACACTGGGCAGCAGACTGCACCAGCTCATCCACGTCCTGCCTGTGTGCCTTCGCAGCCTGCTGAGCAGCTGCGATAGCCTTCTGGCGCTCTCCTTGTTCTTGCGCCGCAGCTTTGGCCACAACCGATTTATAGATCGGCGCTGGGATAGGCTGCTTCAGGCCACGTTGATTCGCCTTTTGCTGAGCGATCTCGGTGTTGCGCACGCAGCTTTGCAAGATCTCTTGCGATAAGCGGGCAAAGTCACGATTGTTCGGCTGCAAAACGCAGATACGCATCAGTACCAGCGAAAAACTTAAGCATCCATCTCTCCTCACTGGAATGTTGATGTCGAGGCAACGAAGACTCCGGTTCATCTTGAGCGACACTGAAAGCGCCATGACGCCGGCAATGTCAATTTCAAAATTCTCGGTTAGGTCGAGGTGAATAAGACTTTTTGCCTCTGGCAAGAATTCAGCAAGTGCAATTGCGCCTTCGGGAGGCAGGTCCGTATCATTCAAGAAGAGACGCTTCAGGTTTGAGTTGAGCGTGAAGGCTGTGCGTAGCGTCGTGATACCTTGGATACTGGGACCTGAGCATGGGTTGCGACTAACATCTAGGGTCTCCAGGATGGGATTGTACTTGAGAGCGTCGGCAATCGATACCAGACCTGCAACGTCCAGGTTGTTATCACTAAGATTGAGCACCTTCAGGGTTCGATTCTTCTTGAGTGCCTGCGCGAGATTCACCACACCGCCGCGAATGTCGTTCGATTTGAGGTCCAGTGTCAACAAAGAGCCCATGCGTGGCGCTTCGGCCAGCAACTGCTTCGCTTTCTTGGCTTGCAATAACGTCACCTCTGGAACATTGTAGGCGTTGCTCGTGGTGCGTCGTTGCGGATCAAACGTGCTACCAGATTGCCTGTTGACAGTTGCTTCGGCGTCCAATTGCAAGGATGCTGTTCGGTGGGCAGTAGGAATCTTGCGACTGGTGATTCCCCCAGCAGGGCTTGAGACGACGATCGGACCTTCGGGAAGTTCCGGCGACACTGTTCGGAAGCTGCCTAGCCCAACACCATTCACGTCTTGTTGTGCATTACTGCCGGTTGGGTTGCTGATCACATTGCCGCCTTGGACCGCTGTCGCGCCATAGCTATCTGGATAGTCTTTCAGGAGATTTGCAAGTGGAAGGCAGCCGGCCTGTCCGATGCGGTTTCGGCGTATTGAAATGTGTTTGAGCGTCGAAAAGCGTACTGCATTCGCTAGAATCTCCAAAGTCGTCGGGCTTTTGAGAGCGCAATTCTCAAGTCGAAGGGATATTATGGAAGATGAAAGAGACACCCCGTCCTCTGCAACATTGCGCAGCAGGGGCGCTCCAGGCATCAGCGGCAACCCATCTTCGTCCAGCTCTCCTTCCTCAGCCTCTATTGAAGCCTTTCCTCTTCCGGCTTCAGATGCGCCATCGGCCATCTTCGTTTCTGATGCCTTTGCTTTCAGCTCGAGAAGAGTCGATTGAGACTTAACCAGGCTGCTAACCAGCAGCTCGAGCGCCGGGCGCGTGATGTTGTTCTCCGAGAGGTCCAAGTATCGCAATGCTTGCGCACGTCGAATGAACCCAGAGACGTATCGCCAGCCATTATACTTAATCTTCTTGTTGGCAGCTAAGCTAAGATTCGGCAAAGTGCCCGAAATGAGCAGGCCGTGAAGAATTGCTTTGAGTCCCTGTAAGTAGTGGAAAGAAAAGTCACACTCCTGCCGAAATGCACCTAGAAGCTTCATTTGAACCACTCACGTCGTCTGTCAGGCCGCAATTCTCCAAGACAAGCTTTGTGAGGCCAAAGTCGACGCTCAGAAGATCAGCGAGCGGATCAATGGCAGCTCGATCGAGCGGCAGGAAGCTTAAGTCAAGCGTCTTGAGCGGGCCGTCCCTTCCGGCTCCCTCTCCGCCATTCGCCTGCCGGTGGCCTTCCGCAGCCTCTTGAAACACGAACCTCATCTTTTTGAGCGGTAGCTCTTCCCTCGTCCGACAACATTCCCGGTAGAGTGCTTCAAGTTCTTTGAGTGTCCAACGCTTGCGCCTGCGCTCGGACAGCTTTTTTCGATGTTCGCGCTCCACCTTTTTCCGTGTCACATCCTCCGAGCCGGGTGTGTACATGTTCGAAATAGGGTATGTGACACACATGCTCGAGACTGTGAATTGGACACGTTTAAGCGGCACGTCTTCGCATGGTAGCGGGAGAGAGCTTGTCGATGTCGGAGTGATCGTGCTTTGTGACGTCAAGCTTTGGGATGTCGCTGCCCGGGCAGGCGAAGATGACTTCGCTGTAGATATCCCTGCTGTCCTCGTTTGCGAGTGCACCATCCCGGTGGTTGGTTGTGACTGGGGAGCACTAACACCTGGCTGCGGCGCGCCAAAAGCGGCTGCAGCCCCATCCCCTAAGCCCCACCGCTTTAACATGCCCCCAAAGCCTGAAGCAACAGGGGCGTCTGCCTTTGGCACCGGAACCTGCATATTCATGCCTCCTTGCGCGAGCTTTGTGTTGATGTTCTGCAGAATACCTCCCATACTGACACTTGCGCCCGGCTTGCCTGTCAAGAAACCACTTAGAGAAGTTCCGATCATGCTCGTGACTGAGTTGCCTGACCTTGAGGAGACGATGGACGCTGACGGAGAAGGTTTGAGGATGCTCTTGCGCTGAGCATGCTTATGCGGCCGCTTAACGACGGACGGAAGAGGAAGCAGCTCGGAAGTCGTCATGGGGGGACCGAGGTTCATGAAAAGGCCGCTCGCGACTGCAGCATGGACTGGAATCGGCTGAGGAGTGAACGTCCATTTTGTTGGTGCCGGAGGTGCTTCATCGTTGAAAGACTCTGAAGGAGCCTGAGGAAAGGCAGCTGATGCGCTTGTCATAGTTCCTGGCACTTCTGTAGCTGAGCTAAGGCCATGGCGTTGGTCCTGCATACTCGCCGGCTGGCTTTCATCGGGGCAAACGAGGGCATCATTCCCTTCATCGCCTGTTGAAGGCTGTTCTGTTGCAAAGCTCGGGCCCTTTTGCTTGGCTAGTTCTGGAAATGGTGTCGATGGGCGGTCAACAAGGTCCGCTGGATTGGCAAGCGCATTCGCTAACGCTTCATCCGTATTTGAGCTCTCGTCAACATTGCCCTCCGCTACGACCTCTGCCGGTCCTACTTGCTGGCTGACCGCATTCTCGCTGCGAACACTGTGGGATGATCCCTGGTCGACCCCCTCCCCGCCAGACTCGTCGTCCTTTGCACTAGATGGCGGCATCGAGGCTTGGTTGAGGTCGTCGAGCGCCATGATGTGACCTGGATGGTTGTGTGATGCCGAGTACGACCACACCTTGGGCTCTAAGACGTGACAATGATCATCAGCTTGAAGTCCTCCGAGTGCCACGCTGAGCTCGGAGGTGCGAGTGAGAGTCCGGCACGCTTTTCCAAGCTAGTAGAGCTGCTGTGAATTTGACGACGGTCGTCGGCTTCTCGCGGGGTGCAAGGGACCAAGTAACGCGTTGGTGGTCACCCTGATCACCATCGCACTGCCCGCATAGCCTGACGAGCTGGATTGTCAGGTCAAATAGCGGGTGGATGGCCTTGCGCACCCGCTTCCCTAGCAGATTTTCCCGTTGCTCCAACCCGCTCCCAGAGCCTCGAGGACGTATCTAAATCAAGGAGTACGGCCGATAGCCATGGACCGTCGTGGTTCGCCATCTCGCTTGACACTTCCATGAACGTCACACCTTATCGTCGAGTCGCGCAACTAGGATTCAGCGCTAGAGAGAGGCGATCATGCGATGGTAAAAATACGGGTGTTTCTAACTTTCGGGTGTAGTGATTTGCACAAGGAGGGGAGCACAGCATTGGAAAGTGCACTACCGCTGGCATCACTCGGTCATTCTAGGGCGAATATTGTTTACTTTTTTGCCCGTAAAAATGTTGGAAGTGGGAGGTCGAACAGTCGCAGCAAATACTTCTTCTGACAAGATCACTCTCTCCAGATGAGCCACGAGTGTTTGCTCGCAGACAAAGAAAGGCTTCCACACTGTGGGTAAAGCAGGAAAGAGTGTCAATAGCCAGAGCGGACCTGCTTTGGAAGCAGCGGCACGCCAAGCATGGTGAGCTCAGGAAGAGATCCACGATCGCTTGGAGTTGCTGATTCTGACTCGCCTTTCAACTCACACAGTCTCGTCTTGAGCTCTTGTCCAGCGGCCAATTGCGCATAGATGGACGCCGCCCACTAGAGCTTCGTTCACTGGCATTTCATATCTCTCCATTGTCACTCCGGCAAGCAGGAGCGGATGGCAGCGCGATAGTTTCCCATGGGCTGACCACCGTCAGGGCCAGCGTGTATGGGCCGCGGCAACGTTTAGCAGAGACAGGTGGCGCGCAGCAGCAAGGTGGCCAGGCTGGCCTTGGCGGTTCAGAAGCGAAGCTGGAAATTGAAGTCGAAATGCCTGCGTGGGCAGGGTCCGATCGACGCAAGAGAGGGAAAGGGGATCGGTTCGTCTCACCAAGCAATATTTTGGCCTGCTGCTTGCATTGGAGCTAACGTTCCCCTTGCTTTTCAAATCGACTTTGTTGCAGTCAAATATTAAACCTTGCGTCCTCTTTGCAATCCGCTTTCTCCCCTTGCATCCTCCTTCACCTATATCCGCGCTCGCAAATACGCGTCTACATCACCATCAACTCGGCAGACGGTTCTCTCTTCTCGAGCTGCGTGAATGCCGTCAGTCTCGCTCTAATTGATGCAGGGATATCCATGCTCGAGCCGCTCGTCGCCGTCAGCGTCGGCTTCTATGCTGGTGGAGGTAGTAGCGGGACGAGTGGCGACTTGGAAGAAGATGGTAGTCCCGGTGGGATACTGCTGCTCGACTTGAATGGCACCGAGGAGTCTTCCTTGCCTAGCACCACCCTTGGTATCATGCCGCGCAGCGGAACAATCTCGCTGCTCGAGCTGGAGACGCGATTACATCTCGATCGGCTAAAGCAAGCGATACAACTGGGGGTAGAGGCATGTGTGGTGCTCAAGGCAGAAATGGACCGCGTCATAAAGGCACGGACGCGCAGGCTCGCCACAGCATTGGGAGGAAGGGGAATACCGAAGAGCGCTGGCGACGTTGTGGAAAACGAGCATGTCCCGGATGATGTCGAGGGGTTCGAACGGGAGCTTATGGATGAGTCATGAGGCTAGCGATCGCGCTAAGGACCATGACCTCATTGTATTCTATTAATGTAGCATTACACAACACTGTCACCATACATCCTGGCTTTCGGCCGCATCCCAGTTCGCATCCTCAATGTCTTCAAATTGGGACCACAGCTCCTCGTCATTCTCAGCAGATTTGAGCGTTTGTGACTTGCCGGCCGCCCCGCTCTGGGCAGCGAGCAGCATTTCTTCGTCCTGCTTTTCCAGAGCGAATCGAATAGCCAGCTGAGCTTCCGCCTCTCTACTACGCTCCAACTCGGCTCGACGGAGCTCCTTCTCGGCCAGGTGTTCATCTTGCTTCTTTGCGCGCCACTCGCAGCCATGCTTGAACTCGCATGTGGAGCACCGATAGACCGTCTCGTCGGTCACACCGCGCAGCTCACGCGTGCCTTCCCACATGGCCATGACATCGCGCAGATAGTCGTCCAGCTGAGTGGCATCGTGTAAGAAGGTCACTATACCGATAATACTGCCTTCCTTGAAGCTCGTGCGTTTGGAGGGACCTTGGCTACTCGGGTCTTTAGCGGCTGTGGACTTGCCGAGAGCAATAGCGTTTCCTGACACTGACAGTGCGGGTGTCATACAGTGTCTTTGTTGAGAATTGCGAGGAGAGTCACTCGCCGTGATGGTGTGGTCGGAGATGCGCGCAGGATCGCCTTGTACAGCAAGAGAAAGCTGAAGGACAGGCTGTCTCTCGACGTTTGCCATATTTGAGCCCATTGTTGCTACTTTCGCCTGCTTCTCCACATGCATCAAAGTAGCAACCGCTGGTTCTGATCCTACGTTCATTGCAGGCGAAGGGCCATCTCCTGTTGAAGGGGCGAGCTCTTCTGTATTCAATCGTTTCACGCTGCACGCGGGCATCGCATCTGGAGCTGCGTTTGACGGTAATGTGTGCTGCTCTTTTGCTTCGCCAACCCTGTCCCGCTTCTTGGCAGAGTATTCCTTTCCCTGCCCGCGTCTGCGGAAGACGAGCGCAAGCTCGTCCGAGATGATTGGGCATTTTGCGGCGCGGTACTCAATTTCGGCATTGGACGTTTGGGTCTTTCCGCTTGCCGCCTTGAGAGTCATAACGTGTCCTTTCCAAGCACTGGCCCGCATGTCTCTCAGTGTTGCTGCCATTAGGTCAAACACTGTTGATAGGGTACACACACGCGGCCTTTTTGGCTCGTTCGGCACTGATGTGGATGGCGATGTCGACTTGTTTGACGAGCTTTCCAGATCGGGGAAGAGGTGTAGCCCGTAGCCTTCGCAGAGTGGTATAGCATCGGAAAGAAAGTCATCTGACAATGGTGCATGTAAGTTGAGTTGCAACCTTTGCGCAAGCATAGACATCGTGAAAGGTGTGCCCTTGTGGTCCACGCTTTCATCTTCCAATGTCGCAATTCCGGCGCCCGGTTGAATATCTATGAGCCCTTCTGCACCGCTTGTTCCAACGCCCAGCAGCAACCCCTCCAGCAGGCGCTTATAGAGCATGCACTGGAGCTTGGCTTGGAGATAATCAGCAGGGCGAGGCAGCCTGTCGGAAGAACGCGTTTTGCTGTCTGATAGAACGTAGACGTAGCCTGCCGCTTCCGCTCTTGGGTGCGATAAAGGATAAGACGGTAGCATACCCGCAGCGAGACGCTCCTTGGTGTTGGAGGAAGCTTCCAGCGTGAAGGTGCCAATAGGCGCATCTCTGTTCGTTTCTTGCAAATTAGTCCCACTGTCATCGTCTGATGGGTCTAGAACGGAGGAAGCCGCGGGTAATCCTGTAGTAGGCTTGAAGAAGCTCATGATCCCTGGTGCAGCTCTCTCGGACCGATCCTTTTCGCGACCAACTTCCAAAGCCCCTTCGTTCGGCGCTGGCTGTTTTGAGTTCGTGACGGGGCTCAATTTGGCACGGTTATCGGCCTTATTGAGACGCGCATCAACTTTACGTTCACGCTCTGCTTTGGCAACAGCCTTCTTCCATTCTTCTTGAGAGGTGAATTGGGGGCCATTAGAGGAGCTTTGTGATATAGAAGAAGCGGTCCCTCGACCTTCTGGGGGTTGGCGGCTCGTCGTAAAGCTAGTTCTGATGCCTTTTGATACGGCCAGAGACGGTGGGTGCTCGCCCTCGTCTTTATTCGCAAGCTTAAACTTTCTTTGATCGCCCATGGAAAGTGCACTACTCTCAGCCGTTTGCGTTTGAATTGCGTTTACCGAAGTCGTGCAGGCCTGGTCTAATTTTGGTACATAGCGAGGTCGCCGCTCCAGCTCATCGATAATACCCAGCACGAGACGGTCCTGCACCCAGCCAAAGACAGGGATTTCTCGCTGAATATGAAGAAGAGTTGAAATCAGAGCACAATTCATATATCATGTTGCATCGAACAGAAGCTCAGGTAAGAGGAGAAATACCCACCGAGCATCCCTTGTCCAGCAGCGTTTTGATCGCCACGGCCAACCGCACCATTTGGAGTGCCCATTCATCTTCCTTCCCTCTGGTCGAGACGAAGACTTTTTCACCGGGGAAGATTTCCTTCTCCAGCTTCGCATGAACCTTTTTTCCTTGGTCGAAAACGCGTTGCTTCATTTCCAAACGCATTTGATCCAGTGGAATGACAGTTCCTTGCGGTGTTGTTATTGAGGCAGGTCGCAGAGATGGCGGCAAATAGGAGAGTGAGAGGATGGAATACTGGAAGGAGAATTCACACCAGCTCGGCGTTACGAGTTCGGTTACGGTTAGCTGGGTGTATGTCGATACGAACACGCAAGAAGCGTGAGCTTCAGGGAGTCAGCAAAATGAGTGCCGCACGATTCTCACATGACCTTTACGGCTTGCATGATCTTGCAAGCTCTTTGGAGGAGTTATAGAAGAAGACCATCGGCTTATGTTTCCTAATTTTCGCGCAGATATCGTTGACTTATGCCTTGATGGCGGGACAGACATTGTACCTTGTCGCAGCCGAGCTTCTTGCTCACGATCGTCAAGGGTTATCTTGGACGAGCTGGCGGCCGAGCCAGCTCTTCCGGTACCAGCCTGCTGCTCTTGCTCATACTCGATTTGCATGGCGGGTATCTGGAGACACAGCAGTATCAAGGCGCTCCTTAGCCCCAAGATTCGTGCGGGATGTATTCCGGAAGCAGCAAGATATTCACCGAGGATAGAGAAGCGAATCATATGTGGCGACCTTGGACGGACAGATCATCTTCCATGCTCATTCGCGCGCACGAGCTGATTAAAGGTTCAAAAGATACAGTGCATGAACACCACAACGCTTGCTTTGGCTACCGACTGACAAGGGCAAGGTTGTGAGGGAGATGGTGTAGCAGGTGCAGTGCGAGAGGCAAGCAGTATTACGCGAACGCAACTGAGCTCGTGACAGTGTGCATAATCGTACATGCGAGTACACGTGTAGTTCAAGATTGCAAGCGCACTGATGGTCCGCACAGTCAATAAGAAATGTTACGTAAACAGCCACACAATTTTGCGATTGAGCATCATCGTCATTCGAGTTGTTGCGAACGTTTTGTCATTGTAGACACCGTTTTGGCTTGCCTTAGGCGGGTCACACGAGCATCTATAGCAGATAACAGGACGCCAGCAATCGGTAAGAGGAGCTCGCCTGCATCTGACAGAATCTGAAGACTGAGCAGTGGATGGAGGCACGTGCGGTAGTAGCCGCTCGGAGCCTTCAAGATGGCGAAGAAGGGAAAGAGCAACTCTGCAGAAAAGGCGGCTGCTAAGGCGGCTAAGAAAGCCAAGCAAGAAAAGGTGAGTATCTATTAATTTATCATCATTCTCATTCTTGTCTTATCTTATTTCTTTCAACGAAAGAGCGCACAACAAAAGGCGCTTAAGAAGGAAAAGAAAACACAAACTGCCATCTCACAGCAAAACAATGCAAAAGGGAAGGGCAAAGGCAAAGGTAAATCCCAGTCTAAAGCAATCAAAGAGGACGAGGAGGATCTCGATGCATTGCTTGCAAAGTTCAAGGCAGATTGGGAGCTAGACCATGCCGTATTCGAAGAAAGGCAGTCGGGCGCGCCCAGCAGACGAGCAAATGCCACCCTGACACCCTGCCCACTCGGCAACGACCTTTGGCTTTTTGGCGGAGAATACTTTGACGGTGAAACGTAAGTACCTTGTGTGATGAACCACTTTCAGTCAAGAGTCATAGCTTAAAGCGTGGTCACTGCTTCTCAGGGCCAATTTCTACGCCGATCTCTATCGCTACACGCCGTACACGGGGCCGTCGTCTTCTAAAGACTTACTCGACGATCCTCCTTCCTTCATCACACCGCCGCCACCTGTCACCGAAGAGCGCAGCAAGACAGAATTAACGGAAACCAAGTCCCGGGATAAGGGAGAGTGGCGCTCGTATAGCTCACGCAACCAGCCCGGGCCGCGATCGGCACACCAGATCGTCGCTTCGCCTCAGAACGGCGGCCTTTTGTGGCTCTTTGGCGGGGAATTTGCAAGCTCGCGAATGACCAGCTTCCATCATTATCGCGATGTAAGTGATGCGTGGCTATTCCTTGATTTGAATAGAGCTGATTTTCTTCCTTGCAGCTTTGGGTCTTCTCCATCGCCACCAAATCGTGGGACCGCATCGACACCAAGGTCAAGCCATCTGCACGCTCTGGCCACCGTATGGCCATGTGGAAAAATTATCTGGTCCTCTTCGGAGGATTTATTGATGCTGGTGCCCGGACAACCTATCTCAACGATCTGTGGGTCTTCTCAATTGAAGATTACAAATGGACAGAGATCAAACAGAACGATCTGCGCCGACCAAGCCACCGTTCGGGGTTCTCGTTCATCCCAACATCTGACGGGATTGTCTTGCATGGGGGTTACTGCAAGCGCTACGTCAAAGGACAGCGAACGCAAGGTGTAGCACTTGACGATACCTGGTTCCTCAAGATGGACGAGAATGACCTCGCAAAGCTCGACTGGATCAAGCGGCGGAAGATTGGGTACATCCCAAACCCGCCGCGCAGTGGCTGCACGATGGCGCTGTGGGCGAACAAGCAGATGGGCATTCTCTTTGGCGGTGTGACGGATACAGAAGCCGACGAGGAAAGCTTAGAGAGCACATTTTGGAATGGGCTTTATGGCTATCAGCTCGGCGGCACGGGGCGGTGGATCAGCCTGAACCTGAAGAAGCCCAAGAAGATGGGCGGGCAAGGCGGCAAAAAGAAGCGCGAGCGCGCTGTAGCTCTAGCTGCTGCTAGGGCTGCAGAGGCTGCGAAGCGCCGGGAAGAGGCGGAAGCGAGAGCGAAAGAAGAGGAAGAGGAAGCTAGACGAGGTTGGAGCGATGATGACGATCAGCATGGCAGTCAAAGCGAGAGCGAAAGTGGGAGCGATTCCGATAGTGACGCCGACGAGCGAGATCTACGGAAAAACCCTGCGGGCGGGGCGGATACTGCATCCAGCCTCGCTACATCGGGGCCGCCCTCGTTTGGTGTGCCAGATGATCCGGAGGATGATGAGGACGATCCTCAGAAGAGCATACCGCTGGAACGATGCAACACCATGTGTGGGTAGCAAGGGCGAACTGTCTACACAATGCATGCGCTGACGTTCTTCTTCACACGCTATCGCTCATTCGCTCGTGTAGTGGCGGTCCAACGAAACTTGCTATATCTTTATGGAGGAATCTACGAATCCGGCAACCGCGAATACACGTTGGACGATTTCTATACGCTCGACCTTTCCAAGCTTGACCGATTCCATTGCCTCAAGGCTTGCCCTATCGACACGCTCGAGTGGCACGACTCGGAAGAAGAAGACAGCAGCAGCAGCAGTGACAGCGGGAGTAGCAGCGACAACGACGATGAGGCTCAAGGAGATGAAGGCTTGGAAGATCAGGAAGGTGTTGAATATGTCGAGGATGTGGATGAGGATCTCCTTGATCCGAACGTGGGCGAAGATGGACTGTCGCTGGAGGAGAGGAAGCAAATGGCCAGAGAGAAGGTGGGTCCATGATGTGCATGCTACCTTTTGTACCGGATGCATTGACCACACGGCTCTAAACGTGCAGGAAGAACTCCGTGCACAAGCAACCAAGTTCCTGGGCGTGTCGAAGGACACTTCCAGAACAGCGGAAGATGTGCTCTCCACCCCGCTTCCTGGAGAGAGCATCGCGCAGTTTTACGAGCGCAGCAAGGAGTACTGGTCGGCCAAGGCGTTCGAAGCGATGAATGGTCAGAATCGCGGAAAAGAGTTGCGGAGAGACGCGTTTGGCGTAAGTGCAGCGGCGAGTGCAGATCTTGCATCACATTCTCCTGATACTCAAGCGTTACTGTTTTATAACCCCATCAGTTAGCCTCCAAACGATACGATGAGTACAAGCCACTGCTCAAGGAGATTGAGCAAATCCAAGCCGAGGCTGGCTTGGACGCCCAAGAGATGCGCAATGCCAGCAAAGGCTCAGGCTCAGCGCTGAATGCTGGTGTCGGAGTCGATAGCCGCAACCGTCGATGATCGGTGATCCTTTCCTCCAGCTCGTTACCTTGTATTTCAGAGCTCTTGTAGTTCAGAGGCGAAGCATGTAGCAAAATTTGGTGAGCGAGACCGCACATCTAGCAAACGATGAAGTTCAGCGGGAAATAAAGCGATTAGGCACTCTGCAGGAGCCCATTTGGTTAATGAGTGGCTTTACACAGCAAGGCTTCGGTCCTTAGCTGTTGTAAATCAGGTAATGTCTGCTAAAAAGTGACAGAGCGTCGATCGCTCAACTCAAGTTTCACCACGACTGCAACTGTTCAACATGCTGGGTCCTCCATAGATGTAGGACGCTTGCCTTCAGGACGTTGTTATTGAGGCTGTCATATAGCAGCAACAGCGCCGACGGACGCCCACTTGCATCAGCCTTCCTCCTGCTGGAACTTCCAGAGCAGTTTGCTGTTTTGGCATTTCCGACTACTGTGCGGATTATTGCGTCGTTCAAGCGACTCGAGTACTCTGCGAGCAAAGCGCTTGTGAAGGTGAACAGCTAATCCCCCATCGGATATAAGCGTATCGTTGTCTCTCGCAACCATGCTGTACGATTCTGCGTACGCAAGCGAAATCAAGGCGTGGCTAGCCTCCAAACTCGAACCAATGTCAGTCCTTTAGCTCGAGGCGATACCAGGCAAGTTGCTGCGGATGCATACTAACCTTCTGCTTTCATCCTTCCGGCCATTTCCAGATGCGACGCCGATCCAGATGTCCTAGCCGACTACGTTCTGGCTCTGCTGAAGCACGATGATGATGCGGTAAAGCTAGCGCAAACTCTGAATGATCAACTTTCCGACTTTTTGGCGGACAGTGAGTTTTTAAACAACGTCGCCGATTTACATGTGATGACCTTGCTTAGCCAGTCTGAAATGCTCAAACTTTCCTTAGATACCATATCTTTCTCCCAAGAAACTGTGGAGATGCTCCAGCAGCGCTCGTATCTGCCTGCATCTGCACCAGCCGAGCCACCGAGTCCATCCGCGATGGACACTTCAAGCAGCCGCAAGCGCGGACGACCAGAGGGGCGAGAAGACGGGGACACATCGATGACCAAGTCGTTGCGCTCTGGAGATGGTCAACAAGGAGATGGTGCTCAGAACGACGCTTGGGCAAATAGACGGATAGGTAGTGGATCAACACGTGGGGGCCGTGGAGGCGGCGGTGGAGGGAGGATGGGCAATGTGTCCCCTATCGGCGATCGACAACAGCAGCCAGGCGGGAGAGTCACCTTGCCGGAAGGAATGTGCAGGGATTTCCACCTGCGAGGGTTCTGCTCCCGTGGCGATTCGTGCAAGTACCAACATCTTCCAACGAATGGCCAGCCTTGGGGAATGCCACAGCCGGGGGCCTTCCCTATGCCTGGCTCAGTGCCTGGCTCAGTGCCCATGCCGACGCCTCCCCAAGCTGGCGGCGAAGATGCAGAGATGTCCAATGGGGCTCTCAGCGTGAATAATGGCCTTCCTGACCAGCCGAACCCGGTTATGATGCCTTTCCCATTCCCTGGGATGCCGGGGATGCCAGGGATGCCCGGCCTGCCGCCAATGCCTGGAATGGATTTTGGCATATTTGCCAATGGAGATGGTGGACGAGGTCGAGGGCGAGGACAAGGGTCAGGGCCCGGGCGCGGCGGGCGTGGCATGAATGGACAGTTCCGTTCCACACGGCGCTCTCAGACGACGCTTGTCATTGAGAACGTTCCATCAGAAAACCTGGACCTGATGCAGGTCAACGAGCGCTTCAAGCGCTTTGGCACTATAACCAATATCCAGATCGACAAGGCTGGCCGAAAAGCTCTCGTATCTTACTCGACGGCCGACGAGGCTCGCCGTGCTCACTCCGATCCCGATGTGATCTTTGGCAGTCGCTTCGTCAAGGTCTACTTCCAAGCCTTGGACGACCAGCCGAGCAGCGATGGTGCCCACTCGCCCGGGCAGAACGCAGGCGCCAGAGGGCCTTCCGCTTCTTCATCCGCATCGCGCAGTGGCCGAGGCGGTACGCCTGGCTGGGGTGGCAAAGGAAGCGGCCGCCAGCCGGTTATTACAGCAGCCGACGTCAAGATGCTGTCTGCAGACGCAAAGGCCAAGCAGTCCGCTGTTGCCACTATGCTGGAAGAACAGAAGTTGCTCATGTCCGGCATCACCATGCTCGATGGCGACGCAAAAAAGAAGGCTATGAGCCGTCTGCGTGAGCTGGCGACCACCATTCCGTTGGCGACGCAGCAGGCGAAGGAAGCTGCAGAGAAGGTCCAGAATGTCGGACCTGTCACGCCCATTCCTGAGAGCTCCAAGGCTCTCATGGAGAAGGCAAAGAAACGACAGCTGGACCGAGAGCTCGATGCGATGGCCGCTAGTGGTGTAGGTGCATCCATGGCAGTGGATGGGGAAGAGGGAGGAACGGGGGCTAGCGAAGACGGCGCATCCACTGAGGAGCTCAAGGCGAAGCTCCTAAGTCTCAAGGCTGAGGTGAGCAAGAAATCGCAGGAAGAAGTTGGCTTGATGATTTGTTTGATGCTGACTTCTTTTGTGCCGCGGGCAGGCCGCTGCACTGGGTATCGATGCCTCTGGTGCAACTGGCGGTCGTGGTCGAGGCCGCAGCGGGCGCTTCCTGACTCGAGGAGCATATCGCGGGAGGGGTGGTGCGGCCTGCGGCTTCCAACGCGGCTTTGCCAACCTTGACAATCGTCCAACGAAGCTGCTTGTCGACCTCACAACCGAGGGCGGCGATGCCATTGACGGCGAGAAGAGGGAGAAAGTCATAGCTTGGTTCAAGGTGAGCCGCCATCGTGAATCAAAATCATATGCTTCGGTCAACTAAGCTGACCGACACGCATCGTATCAGAATTTTGGCGAGTTCGAGAATATCGAAGAGGGGGATTCTGGTGCGTCAAGCAAGCTTGTGATCAAGTGGAAGAACAGACACGAGGGAGATAAGGTGAGCATGCAATCACTCCGTCTCGCGATTGATTTGGCGCGTTCAAGTTTCATTCTCATTCTTATTACCTCTCTCGCATGCAGGCTGTTTGGTCTGGCGGTAACATTCCAGACGTTGGGAAGGTTAAGATGCATTGGGCAGCAGTGGCGGTATCATCTCCTGCTTCCGCTGCTGGTACTGAGACGACCAGCCCGGCTACTGCTGCAAATGGGGACCAGACTTCGTTCGCGATGACAGCAGTTTGAAAAACCGCGACGACAGAGCGAAGCGAGGAAGACATGTGCAATGAAGTATAGTGTGTCTCGCATGCTATCCAAAAGCTGAGGGACAAGACTGCACTCGGGCTGATACGCCGAGGCGGCTCGTATCAACTTTTTGACAAAGCACAGATTTGAATCACATGCTTGGTGTGAAAGAAAACAACGTGGAGCACGCACTGACAGAAAGAAGTAGACGAAGTCGGCCATTTGCATACTCCTGCTGCTTTTATACATTGCACAGGGCATCATAGACAGTGCTGTTACAAGCCTGTAGACTCGCCGTCCCAGCGAGGGGCGGCATGTTAATTGGCTTTTTTGTTCTACCCATCACTTTTCACACCCTCTGCCGTATGACGATCGGCGCTTTCGGGATGACGGAGCTCAGTGTGCTCTACAATTTGGGCGCCTTGACGAGCACGTCGTAGTGTCCTGGTCGGAAGAGCAGCGCGCCGACGTGGAGCAGCGTGACAAGCGTCGAGGAGGGTCTGCGCGTGGATGAGCTCGGCGCGTGCGTCCCGATCGCCGCACCATCCTCTGTGGGCATCTCGAAGCGAACAATCTCGCATGCGGCTTGCTGCGCCGCGCGCTCCCTTTGGCGCCCGGGGACGCTGAGGCTTCCCACGGCTGGTGCTGTGTTCCCGCCAGGGTGTGACTCTAACGCGAACGTGTTCGCGGGAGGCTTCGCTGCTGGAACAGCCATGACACCTTTGTCTTCGTCCTCGTCTCCGCCTACTGCGCCGATGCCACTGTTGTCAGGTGATCGCGAGAGGTAGACGACCTCAAGGCTGACAAGCAGGGCGCGGCTGAGCGCCGTGATGGCGAGGTGGTCGGCCTCCTTTCCGATCGCCTCGATGTGGTTGCTGCAGAACTCGTCCATGCTCGGCGGGCCGCCGTCGCCCTTCTCGCCATCGTATGCGAACAGGAATGGCTCGAACTCAGAGGCGTTGGTCTTGAGAAAGGCGGAAGCGACGAGACGGAGGTACGCGACGATCGAGTTGCTCGTCTCAGGGTCATTCAGCGCCTTGACCAGCTCGGCGTCGTCGAGCTCGACAATATCCGGATCGGTGACGTAGATGCGGCGGAGCAGCTCCCTGAGAGGCTCCCAGAAGTCCATGAAAATGGCCATCTCAAAGCCAGCGCGCTCGAGCATGCCGTGCGTCGATTCGATGTGCTTGTACACAGAGAGATACAGCGGTCGGTCGTTTATGTGGATGATACTCTGGATGTAGGCAAACGCAAACGCGCGGCTGTAGAGGCCCCAAGAAAGGAGGGACGGAATGTCGGTTGTCAGTATCGCCTTTGCCAACACCAATGCAGAGCTTGCAACGTTACGCACTAGAAGCAGTCGCCATCACCTCTGGTCTTGTAGTACGTCAAGAAACCACCTTGTGGCCGGTTGCGCAGCCAGAGAATCTTGCGGACGAAGCTCTGGTCACCATTCTCGTACTCGCGAGCGAGCTCTTCCAGATCAATCGCATCCGAAATCAGCGGCTGATCGCCGACGGACTCCTCCCGCGCGGCGGCGCCAAGCTCGTGCCGCTGTGCATCGGACAGGTCTTCTAGTGCGCTGAAGCTGGCTGGCCGCGAAGTTGGGGGAGCAAAAGCGGAATGTATTTGCGTTAACATGCGTCAGTACACAGCATCTTTAGAAAAAACAGACTACAGTACAAAGAGCAGCAGCAGCAACTCGCACCTGATCTGGGAACTGAGTTGAGGCCGGCTCATGGCGAATTGGTGAGTCTGGTGAGAGATCTGATGCGACCGAGACGGGATGACCTTTCGGCGTCGTGGTTTCGCCTTGAGCGTTGGAGAGACTGGTTGGTGCTCTCTCCCACCAGCAGCTGCAAGTGCTTCCCCGATGGCGAAGGAGCGAGCTGGGGTGTCGATACAAGGGATGCTGTGTCGGGCCCGGGCACACAAGGCGTCGGTCACTCAATAGATGTGGGATTGCCATCGTCGTCATCATCACCGACGGAAGCGACGGATGCATGTACTTGGCGCTGAGTCTGTGTGCGGGCACGGCGGCGCTCTTGGCAGACCGTGGATGGTGAGGCGCGGATCGGCTGCAGTCTTGCTGGCGCACACAAACAAGCGAGTCACAGACTGATTAGGGTTGCAGACCTATTTTTGATCAAATTCGGTGCAAATGGCTTGAGATTCCACAACTCATTTTTGGCTTTAGTCTGGCACGCAGCACGCTATGCGCACGACAAAGAAATTTACGCTGAAAAGAGAGTATCCAGCCAGTCGAGTGTGCCTTGCACGTCTCACCTTCGAGAGCCATCAGACAGGCTGAGGGACCAGTCCAACGGGCAGCGTAGAAAAGGAAGATCAGTCATAGGCATTCGTGTGCAGAATACAGCGTGATTATTCTCGAGGAGCCCTCCTGAAGACCCCGCAATTCTCCGACTCTCTTCGTGGTGCCGCCGCTGTCCACCGCCCACAACGCAAAGATGGCTTCCCCCTCCACAGCAAACGGCCTCGTCGACCCGTTTAGACTGGTGCGACTGGCAGAAGAGAAAGTGCACAATGTGTCATCTCCCTTCTTTCCGCACCATCAACCTGCTAGTTCTTCCGGCGCGTCGCGAGCGATTGCGCGACAGCAGCAGCAGTCACAGCTTTTGAACGGAGCATGGGACCTCGACGCCTTCCGACGAGATCTGGTAATCAAGATCACACGCATGTCTTCAGAGCGTGTCGAGTTTGACCTGATTGGTGTCGATGCGTCAATAGCCAACGCCATCCGGCGCGTGCTAATTGCCGAGGTACCAACGGTGGCGATCGAGAATGTGTACATCTTCAAGAACAGCAGCATCATCCAGGACGAAGTGCTCAGCCATCGCCTCGGCCTTGTTCCCATCAAGATCGATCCGGACATGATGCAGATGAAGAGCACGGGTGACACGCCGGACGATATGAACACGCTCGTCTTTGTCCTCAATGTCGAGTGCACGCGAAATCCCGCCTACCACATTGGGCGTAAGAACAAGGGAGCAGTCGTATCAGCAGCAACCCAGGAGACTGACCCGGAAAAGCTGTACGAGAACCCCAATGTGCTTTCTGGCATGCTCGACTGGGTTCCGCAGGGGAATCAGCAGGAGTGGAACTTTGCGACAGCCAACAACCCGTCTGCAGACAAGCCACGGCCGGTGCACGACCGCATCCTGCTGGCTAAGCTGCGCCCGGGACAGGGTGTAGAGGCGGAGGTGCACTGCGAGAAGGGCATCGGCAAGGACCACGCAAAGTTCAGCCCCGTAGCGACGGCATCGTATCGCCTGCTACCTCATATAGACATCCTCGCGCCGATCGAGGGCGAGCAAGCGCAAGCGGACTTCATCCGGTGCTTCCCGCCTGGCGTCATTGGTAGGCGCCCGAAAAAGGGCGGTGCAAAGGGCGAGATGGAGGTGTATGTTCAGGACCCGAGGAAAGACACTGTCTCGCGGGAGGTGCTGCGGCATGAACAGTTCAAGGACAAAATCCAACTTGGACGTATCCGGGATTACTTTTTGTGTGAGTGAGAGCCACGTGCAACGCTGGAGTCGCGCTGCATCTCTTGCTAACAGGCAACCCTCATCCCTTCCAGTCGACATTGAAAGCACAGGGATCATCCCGCCCGAGCGCCTATTGCTCTCCTCGCTCAAAGTTCTCACGGACAAGATCCAGACGCTTCAACAGGCGCTTGACATCATGGAGAACCCACGAGACTGATGGTGATCGCACGCGACCTCTCCCCCGGGGTCCCGCAGCGCAACGCGAGCGAGCGAGCACACAAAACTGTATTTCTATATTGCCAAGCACACCATATATCGTTTCCGAATGGCGTTCTGTGAAGGGCTGCAGCTGCGCTTCTGACAGCTGTACGGCGAGAAGGCAGCGGTACCGCAGTTTGACGAGCTGACAGGGGCCTTCGACGAACTGAAGCACCTGCCGGCTCAGCGATGCGGTACTTCATCATTTGTAGCTGCTCAGGCTGTACGTGGTGTACTCTGGCTGTAGTCGCTATGCGGCCGGCGCCGTTCTCCAGATCAATCCAGCCAAAGCCAGTGGCAATGAGGGTATTGGTCTCCTTATTGAAGCTGTGTCGGCTGAGGCCGAAGCATCTAATACCGGCCAGTTTCTCGACAACGAGAAAACCGAGGCAGAAGCGATCCCCCCACCAAAGCAGGAGGTACTCGTCAAAGTACATCGTTCTTCAGTAAGAGCGCTCGCTCGGAAATTTGCGGGCGAAGAGCCACGAGCCATGCTTTTATTGGATGTCTTGATGCATTTACCTTCGAACTCGTGCCATACAGAGTAGGAACCCAGTCCTGCTCATACTCTCTCACTTTTTCCCCTTCTTCTTCTTCTTCTTCCCGCCTCCGCCTCCGCCGCCCCCTGCTCCACCTCCTGTATTTGCACCCTGTCCTCCTGACCCAGCTGCTGCTTGGCCGGAGGCCTCTTTTACCGCTACCGTTGCCGCCCCCGCAGCTGTCACTGCCCTTTTTGCTGCCTCCTCTGCCGCAGCAGCCAGTTCCTGCTCCTTCTGCTTTTGCGCAGCGATTCGCGAGGGAAGCTCGGCGCCGACGATGGCGGCCATCATGTCGCGGTTGAAAATTTCGAAGCGATTGAGGATGATCGAGGAGCGTGTTTTGAATTTGAGCGTCTGGGAGAGTAAGCGGAGGTGGGGAAGGCGGATGATCCGAAAGAGGTGGGGGGGGGGATTTGTATGATGTAAGATGCGGAGGAGGGTAAGTATGCGGAGCTTCCAGTGTTTTTGAACGAGGGAAGCAGGAGGGAGTGGTTCGCACCTTAACGTCATCGGTCACTTTCAGGACGAGCCACTCGTCAGATGGGCGAACCCGAATCACATATCGAGTCTATTCTCGAAATCCAAAAGGCACGAGCATGGTTCCCGGCAGATATGTTAGCAATCCAAAGAAATGAATGACTGCTGTAGTGAGACAATACTAACCCGCGCCGGCGAGGCCTCGTACAGCGCGATGGACTGGGCCTGGAATTCGGCCCATTTCTTGATGTAAACCATGGTGGAGCCGCAGGGGGATATAGCACAGGAACGGCGCTTTGCCGCGTGATCTGCTTCCCGTGAACGGGTTGAGGGAATGGGCGCCTTGTCGTGTGTCTTGTGGACCGTCGGTGCTCGCCAAAGCCTATGCAAGTTCGCTGCGTTGAGGATGCGTACAGCGCACGGAAAGGGAATCAAAAGCATGGGTGCGAAAGAGCAGAGAAGCAGCTATGATTAACCTGAAGTGTGGCTGTGGAAGGCACAACCCTACTCTTGGCCCTGCATGCACCCTTGTCTGCCAATACTTAGCTTATTAGGGTTGCCTTATTCGATTTCCCCGCGTTCGCAACCCAAAAACGCAAGGATGCGCCGGGTAGAGCAAAAGTGGTGCCATGCCGGTCAAGTAGGAAAGTGCGGGGCAAGGTCACTCCATATCCATGCAGGGCGTCTTTGTTGCACAGCTCATGCATTCTTTCGCAGGCTGGTGGGGTGTATGGTCTGCCCACCATCAAGACATCGTAGAGCACGGTTGGAGACTCGATGGAATCCGGCCAGTGGAGAACAGAGTGCATTCTTTGGAACATCGACAGTCCAGCGAAGGATAGACAACTTATGGACTCGGGCCTGGCGTAAGGTATACCCTCATCAAGGATTTGTGCCTCATTCCCTTGTTAGCCCAGGAGCCCCCCTTCTCCGTTCGCGGTGGCACTCCGTCCTGTCATTGCTCTCCATTGCAGTTTATCACAGATGGTGCCATCGTTATGAAGCCTCAGGCTGGATTCGACGAGAGCGACCAGGAGCCTCCCAGGAAGCTCCTGCGAGTTTCCAAGGCATGTGCTCGGTGCCGGAATCAAAAGCTTAAGTGCGATGTGAGTGATTGGGCGATATGTTTTGTGTACCACACACCCGTTTACGCCGAGCACGTGAGGCCTGACTTCTATTGTCCTTTCTTTTGCGCACACCAGGGGAAATTCCCATGTGCACGCTGTCAGCGCCTGAAGGTGCCCTGTTATGAACCCAGGGACAATGCGTCGCCCCCGAGCGCGTTCGCGTCTGGATCCGCTGCTGTAGATACTCTCGACTCTCTGCAAGGAACCATGGAATCTGCTCTCGAGCGTATTGCACGCCTCGAACGGATAATGGGAAGCATCGGAGATAGCAGCGGCAGTGATCCTGGTCCTGTGATCCAGCTTCAGCAGCACCACCACCACCGCCGACAGCTGCCGGCATCTCACGCCATGCCGTCCCCACGCTCTGCAGCAGGGCTGACGCCGGCCCAGTTTCCAGCGCCCTTCAACGAGATCGCAGCTACGCGGCAAAACTCGCCGGCGGGAAGCGAGACGGACGAAGGCCAAGGTCAAAGAGGCAATGACCGCCCTGCTGCTGGAGGGCACGGCGCGCTGGAGCACAGGAGGTCATCAGCTATCTCGCGCGCGTCATTACATGACCCAATCAAGAATGGCATCATCACTGAAATACATGCTCGCTACCTGATCGACTAGTGAGCATGGATTTGTGCCTTGGCCGTGCTTGTCTGCTTGCAGAGACTGACGCCTGTCGCCGCGTCAACAGCTTCGTGCTGAGGTGTCATCCGTATTTGCCCATCCTGGATGTCGAGGAAATGCCAACAATGGAAGAGATGCGCCAGACGGATCTGTTCCTCCTTTGCAGCATCCTCGCCATCGCGGCGCGGTATGGTGACGCGCAGCAAGAGGCCTTTGACGCAAACGGAAGCACAAACAATGTCGTCGAGCGCCTCTTTCAGACAGCAGAGACGCTCCTGGGTCAGACGCTGGCGCAGTCCAAGTTCCGTCTGGGCGATGTGCAGGCTGTTATCTTTTTGCACGCATTCAGCCTCCGCCTCGTCGGCAAGGGCTCAGACGCGTGGATCCTGTCCGGCCATGCATTCCGCCTCGCCAAGAGGCTGCAGATCGATCGAACAATCCTTGTCCCACGAAACACGGAAAGATTCTCGCCGTCTTCCGCGCGTCGGACTTGGCTGGCTTTGTGCTCCTCAGACGCGTTGTGAGTAAGAAGGTTCTCTTTGCTTTTGCCAAACATGAGGCTGACAAGACTCGTGATGCAGCCCCTCGCTCGGCTTTGGGCGACCGGCCTCTCCTCGGGAGAATCTGGAAGGCTGCCTGTCCGTGCTGGAGATGCTTGGCGCAGCGTTCACTCGCGGAGACCAGAACTTGGGGCAAGAGACATTCATCGCCTCGCAGGTCGAGCTGGCGCATGTTAGCCGGCAGCTGATGGACTGGGTGGCGCAGGTGAGCTGCAGCGCGCACCAATCTGCCGATCTACCGAGCGTCGCGCACCGCTATAGGCGCCTTGACTCGATGCTCTCCGCATGCGAGGCGCGCTGGGACAAACCCAGGCTCGGAACGACTAACCAGCGCCGCGCATCGATCCTGTATCGCCTGCACGTTAAGCTGTGCCTGGCGACGTTTGTGCTGCGCATGTGTGCGGCTGCAGGGCACGGAACGGCGACGGCGGCCAATTCGGATGTAGCAGCAGTGGCAGGGGAAGGAAAAGGAAGTGAAGGAGGAGGATGGGGAGGAGGGGGAGGTCATCGCGTGCTCTCCACACACACGCAAGAAGATTTACAGGCTGAGTGCCGAGAAGCGTGCATCGCTGCGGCGACGGCCATGGTCGAGATCCATGCGGGAGACCGGCCGCTGGTATGCGTGCCGGACTATCTCATCACAGCGCTTGCGCAAGCGATCGTCGCGTCGGTCAGTGTGCTCGAGACCCAACGGGATCTGTCGCCCACGAACACGCAGCAGATCGCCGACAAAGCGCGTTGGCTCGTCGATGACTCACTGCGCATTCTGTCGTACTTCGGAGGCATCGAGACCAATTTGCCAAAGTTCCTCGCGGGCAGGATCCGCGAGCGCGCCAAGCGGTCGTCGCTCTTTCGGAATACACCTTACCAGCTGTCGACACCGCTGGTGGACATTCCGGACCACCCACGCACGCTCACTTCCTGGCAAGCGCTGTCGCGCGCTGACGAGTCTTCCCGGACTATTTCCGATCCGCACCGTCAGAACAATGTACGTTCCGCTGCTGAGAGCTCCAGGGCGACATTCTACGACCCGATTCAGACGTCACCGCTGCAGCCGATGAGCCACGCAGCGCATTATGGCGCTCCCTACGGGACAGCATCAGGAGCCGGAGGGGAGATGCAACAGCAGCAGCATCAGAACCAGCACCATAAAACGAATAGCACGGCAGACTCGTTAAGCACGCCTGGCTCTGGAGCCGATTGGGGCGACTTTGCGCGATGGTGGGATGCAGACGATCCGTTGCAGCTCCTTTTTGGCATGGACGCAAGTAGCAGCGCCTTCTGGGACGGCTCCCTGCAGCACTTACCTCCTGGCTGACTAGAGGGCCGTCGTTCAGGTGTGGCGTAAATGTAACAAAGGTCTGCAGAACATGATCTATGGATACATGTGTACATGGAGGGAGCCTTGTACGTGTGCTTTCCCCTTTACCCCATCGATTTACGCTTCCCTCTCAAGCTTCCTTTCGAGCTGCATCAGTGCGGCGAAGCCCCGCTCAGCCTGTGCGACGGCAGCCTTCGCGCTGGGCTGTAGCGGGCGCCTTGGTGCGCCGCCGTATCCGCGCGTAGCAACAACGAGTGCCTGCGAAGGAAAAGAGCAAGAAAGAAAGAGGGCAGCAGGGATCATCAGTAAAGCGTGCGCACGGCTACATAATCGATTGATCAAGCAGGGGTGTCATGCTGACCTTGTGCATGGGTACCCCTCCCTTGCCGAGCTCCCACTCTGCGACGCTTACGAGGCCCTGCAGACTCCTGGCTTCTTCGTACTTGCCCTGGTCCCAGAGCTGTTGCAGGCGAACGACGGCTCGCGGTGCAATGTTGCCCATACCGGTGATGGTGCCGTGAGCGCCGACGGCGAGCGCGCCGATGTAGTAGTCGGACGCGCCGCCGAGGACGAAGAAGCTGGCGGCATCGGCATCGGCGGCAGAGGGTAGGGCGCAGTGGCGCGCCATCTTGCCGATATTGTGGTCGGTGTGCTTGACACCGCGGATGTTGGGGTGGTGCGCCAGGTCAGCGACGAGCTCGCTATCGAGGTCGATGCCGGCGCTGACGCCGGGGTACGAGTAGATTAATATGGGAACGGGGGACGAGTCTGCCAGTTGTGTGTAGAACTCGCGCGCGCCGGGCCGGCCGATCTGCGCGGGGTAGTAAGAGGATGGGAGGACGAGCACATGCGACGCGCCGGCTGCGTGCGCCGCGTGCACGGACTGGATGGCTAGCTGCACTGAGTGGCCGCCTGCTCCTGCGATCAGCGGCAGATGCCCGAATCCGGCTTGGTCCAGTGCGGTCCTTGCGGTCCGGATCAGCTGTGGTAGCGGTAGGGAGGGTATGGCGGTTCAGTAGTTTCCCCCCTCAAAACA